TAATTTAAAAGAGTAGATGGCAGCACAGCTCTGATCTTTGTAGATTCTTACCTAAAATTTAGCTGGAGTTTTGCTGTCACTTATTTACTTCCCATCTACAACTCATTTCCCCGCTCTATGTACTGTATGTGTAACTTGTCAGTTCCAATGGTATACAATAAACAGACTTTGATGTGTACATTTGATTTGCAGTGTATTTCAATCCCCCTCAATCCCCAGTATAAATGTTCCCTAGCAAAGTTTTGCCTGTCACTTAGCCTTGGTTCACATTGGTGCAACTTGTCATACGATTTGACAGTTTTAAATTACATGACAAGTCGCACCCTATTATCCACAATGGAACCGTTCAAATCAATGCAACTCTGACGGAGTCAAGATTGTGAAAGTAGTTCCTGAACTACTTTTTGCAATTTCAGGTGAGACTTGCATAGACATCTGTGCGTGAAGTTGCACAGATGTCTGCCAAGTCACATCTGAAGTCTCACTGGCATGTGACTTTGAAATTGTGCGACTCGTGAAGTCGCACAATTTCAAAGTCAGTTCCCGTGTGAAGCAGGACTAATGCAGGCCATAGATGGGGAGAAAAACGGCAGATTTTCGGCCGATTAACGAACTATCGGTCGGTCTAAAAAACTTACCTGACCACCAATTATTACGAAAATCGGCCGATTAATGAGTAACCTATAACGGGAAATGATGTCATTTTGTGGCCTTTGTGATCCTTTTTCGGAAAACGATCGTTCGTTTTTGACCATCAATGAGGATAAAGTCGGGCGTTTTTCGAAAATTTTCCAACATCACCGATAATCTGAAAGTCCAAAATACACGAAAAACGGCCGACAAAATCGTCCACTAACGATAAGATATCGGCCGGTTTTATTTTCGGACGAAAAATCGGCCGTTTTTCTCCCCATCTATGGCCTGCATTAGACTGATGCCACACAGGTGATTTGTTTGCAATAATTACCCCTCCTCCCCCCCCCCCCCCTCCCCGGTTTGTTGCGCCAATTTTCTCACACAGAAATTCAGAATTATTTTATTATGGAATGGCTACCTATTTCATCTGTGAAGGCCAGTTTACACTAGAACACAAGCGTTTTTGCAGTTTTGATAGCCCTTTCATTTCAATGGGCTGCAAAATGCATGGGAATGGGCAAAAAGTAGTGCAGGCACTACCTTTACAGATCATGCTGCACCAAACTGCTTGGTACTGTGGTACCATGTGGTTTGCTGGCCACAAATGTGATGCTTTTGCTAGATGTGTTTGGGGTGGCATTAACAATAAATGGCATCTGCGCATGTCTAACAAGGGCAGCGTGTTCCCGTACAGTGTGGGAACTGCGCTTTCCTGCACCACATTCCAGTGTGAACAGGACCTAAAGCAATCTGTTGCTCTGCTGCTCACCAATCAATATTTAGAGGGATGTCGTGTCAGTGACAAAATCGCTAGCGACAAACACTCTTTATTCATCTCTATGGCTTAGGTGCCAATTGCTGAAGGATAACGATTTATAGCACAGCAGATCAACCCAATGCTGTAGCACTATCACCAGCAACTCAAACCCCTAGCTGCAAATTGCTGTTCATCACTGACATTAGCGGTTTGCCCCAATGGTGACATTGGCCTTAAGCCTACCATGCATGTTACAATCTGGTTGTGCGACCTCTGTTATTTCTACTAACTATGTAGTGCCAGAGCCTGCCTGACTGGATACAGATTGATTGCATAGTTTATTTAGTTCCCTTTCACATGAGCACCCTCTGTTCCATCTCAGCGGAGAATCCGTAGATGTATCCCCTGCTGTGCCGGGTCTGAACAGAAACAGATGTCACATATGTGACTTCCATGTCCATTCCGATTTTCCTCCATGTTGTGATAGAGAAAAAAGGGACCCATGTAATCATTATAGGTGACCAGATATAAGCAGATATCTACAAACATCTTCCCAGATCCATTGATGTCAATAAAAGTGGACGTAGATGCAAACTTATTGCTTTCAGTCCTGGAAACCTAAACAGACCCGGATGTAGGTTGATGTAGGCAGACGCTTGTCCACTTACATTCAGCCACCAACAGGGACACATTACAGTCCTTTTTTGATCCATTTAATCACAGGTCAAAAGTGGACTTCTGGAACGGCCATGTCAAAGGTGCCTTTTAGACTGTTAAAAGATTGTATAGTCAGATTTTAGTGTTTGTGAGGACCCTTAGGGATCATGCACAGAGGAAGTTTTGCCCCTATAGTGCACAAACTCAGTGGGTACAAAAGGGGCACAGGCGCAGCATACAGCTCACTGCCAGCAGCTTGGCAATATCAATGACAGGCTGAAATATGGCGGCTGGACACTGTTCTCCAAGGTACTATCTTAGAGGGCCTTCTGCGCCAAAGAAGAATTCCTGCATCTGGGACATAGATCCCTGGACACATACGGCCCTAAATGTGTGTATAGATCAGAACAGAAACCAGCTGCCATGTATTTCAGCCTGTACTTGATAATGAATGCTGGATTTTACTGACCAAGCCACCCATTTGCATGAGCTATCACCCCGAGGAGGAAAAGCTGGATTACCTGTACAGGGGACATCAGTGCAGGGGAAGTGACAGCAGGCGAGGCGGCTAGCACCATGTGGCCATTGGTCTCGGGGCAGGATGGCTGATGGTCACTCTTGACAGCCACCACTAGGACACAGTCTGAAGGCTCTGCAGAACGCACACAGAGTCTCTTTGGAGACGGGGGGTCCCCGGGCACATAGATGGTCTGTCCGGAGTCATACAAGGGTCTCTTGGTGGCCTCGCTCTTCAGCTCGTGCAGCCCACCTCCTCCATTGGCCTTGGGCAGGATGAAGGGGTTTGGGGCAGTGGGCCTGTGCCGGGCACCATTGACAGCGTCAGAGAAATAGGGAGGCCCCAGCTTGGTGCCGATGCCAGCGATGCTGTTGAGGGTGGCCACGGACACGGCCCCAATGCAGTGGTTGGTGTACGTCTTGGACAGCTTGGCGGCCTTGGACAACATCTGCATGCGGGTGCCCAGCAGGTTTTTGCCAATGGCCTTGTTCTCGTACCAGGTGACGTCGGCCTCGTTACAGTGGTCCCGAGGTCTCTGGAAGAAGGCCTTGCACAGGGGGTTGCGCTTAGCCAGGTACTTAACGAAGCTGGCATAGGGGCAGAACTCGGTGCCGGTCTCGTACATACGCGGAAGGTTCTCCTCGTCCCCCTCGGCACCGGCTCGCTTCTTCCCCCAGGCGGAGGACGAGGAGGAGGATGAGGAGCGAGACTTGTGGTACGGCCCCAGCGCTTTGAAGTAGACGAATCGGCGCCCGTCCTCGTCCATGGCCAGGCCAAAGGAGTCCTCCTCCAGCTCGCGCTGGTTCTCGCGCCCCCGGGTGCAGAAGTACATACAGGTCTCGAACCAGACCTTGTTGAGGAGGCCAAAGGGGGACGAGGCGCTGAAGACACAGGAGGTGTAGAGCTTCCTCAGGTCCTGCCGGGTGATGGCCTGCTTCTGCACCACCGGCCCCGCGCCCTGCTCCTCCAGCTTGCGGATGACGGCGGCCAGCGTGAGGTTGGCGGAGCGCAGCTCGGGGTCCTTGGTGAGGTCCAGGGTGCGGCAGTAGGGCGGCTCGTTCAGGTAGCGGTTGAGGGAAGAGCGGATGCTGATGAGGGAAGACTTGCTGTACAGCTGGCCGCTCTTAGACCTGGCCTCGGCGTAGAAGGAGCGCAGCACCCGGCACAGCGCCTCCTTGTCCATGCTCTCGAAGTCCGGGCTCTGCGCCTTCTCGCTCAGGTACTCGCGGAAGATGCGCACGGCGTAGCGGGTGGCCAGCCGGGTGTTCTCGCTCAGGCGGGCTCTCTCGGGCCGCTCGGAGGACGGGGAGCTCCCGCCGCCTCCACCACAGACCACCACTCCGCCGCCACCACCGCCGCCTCCTCCTCCGTCCTCCCCGGGCCGCAGCTGCAGCACCATCCCGGAGCAGGGGGGCTGAGAGAGGACGGCGGGCCCCCGGGGGTGAGCATAGGGGGAGCCGAGCAGAGCCCCTTCATCCCACTCCAGGTCCTCCTCCTCTTCCTCCTCCTCATCGTCATCCAGCAGCAGCAGCTCTTCGTCGTCGTCCTCCTCCTCATCATCCCCGGTGATCCGCACCTCCTGGATCTCATCTTCCTCCTCATCTTCCTCTTCCTCCTCTTCTTCCTCCCCGGCACTGCCAGGCTGCAGTCGGTGCTGGGCGCTCCGTGCCAGGGGGTCGCTGTCCGCCGTGCCCGGGTTGCAGTCCCCGCTGCCAGGCATCCTCGCCATGTTGCCTCTTCCCGGCTGGCTCCGTGCTCTGGATATAGGAGGCTGTGCCGCCTCTCTCTTGTCTCTGCCAGTCCCCGGGCCCGGGCGCATGCGCTATATTGGACCAAGACTGGCTGCCTGTAATGACCTTCACAGACGGGGAGGAGGGGGGCGGCTCTGGAGACACCAGCTACAATGGATGGCTGCCCTGTGTGCCAGCTGAGGATGGTGGGGACACCCTGCACAGGGAGAGCAATGCTCTACTACACGCCCCATCTATTCCCACCTCCCACTATCACACCTTCTCTCATCTCAGACAGTTTTTATTTCAGCTCATCCAGGCTGTTCACACTCCCAAATTCTGCTGCCAAGCTCTACACCAGTGTTTCTCAACCTTTTTTCAGTCACGGCACCCTTTAAAATAACGGACAGTCCTGAGGCACCCTTTAAAATCATGGACAGTCCCGAGGCACCCTTTAAAATCATGGACAGGCCAGAGGCACCCTTTACAATTATGAAGAGGCCAGAGGCACCCTTTACTTTACAAGGCATTACAATTATGGACAGTCACAGAGGAACCCTTTACAATTATGGACAGTCCCGAGGCACCCTTTACCCTTTACAATTATGAACAGGCCAGAGGAACCCTTTACAATTATGGACAGTCCCGAGGCACCCTTTACAATTATGAACAGGCCAGAGGCACCCTTTACAATTATGGACAGACCCGAGGCACCCTTTACAATTATGGACAGTCCAGAGGCACCTTTAAAATTATGGACAGACCCGAGGCACCCTTTACAATTATGGACAGTCCCGAGGCACCCTTTACAATTATGGACAGTCTTGAGGCACCCTTTACAATTATGGACAGTCCCGAGGCACCCTTTAAAATCATGGACAGTCCAGAGGCACCCTCTTTATGGAAATCATGGACCCTTTAAAGTTATGGACAGTCCCGAGGCACCCTTTAAAATCATGGACAGGCCAGAGACACCCTTTAAAATCATGGACAGTCCCGAGGCACCCTTTAAAATCATGGATAGTCCCGAGGCACCCTTTACAATTATGGACAGTCCCGAGGCACCCTTTACAATTATGGACAGTCTTGAGGCACCCTTTACAATTATGGACAGGCCCGAGGGACCCTTTACAATTATGGACAGCCCGAGGGACCCTTTACAATTATGGACAGCCCGAGGCACCCTTTAAAATTATGGACAGCCAGAGGCACCCTTTACAATTATGGACAGGCCGAGGCACCCTTTAAAATTATGAACAGGCCCGAGGCACCCTTTACAATTATGAAGAGGCCAGAGGCACCCTTTACAATTATGAACAGGCCAGAGGCACCCTTTACAATATGGACAGGCCCGAGGCACCCTTTACAATTATGGAACAGGCCCGAGGCACCCTTTACAATTAATGGACAGACTTGAGGCACCCTTTACAATTATGGACAGACCCGAGGCACCCTTTACAATTATGGACAGTCCCGAGGCACCCTTTACAATTAAGGACAGTCCCGAGGCACCCTTTACAATTATGGACAGTCCCGAGGCACCCTTTACAATTATGGACAGACCCGAGGCACCCTTTACAATTATGGACAGTCCCGAGGCACCCTTTAAAATAATGGACAGTCCCGAGGCACCCTTTACAATTATGGACAAGCCAGAGGCACCCTTTGCAATTATGAAGAGGCCAGAGGCACCCTTTACAATTATGAACAGGCCCGAGGCACCCTTTACAATTCTGGACAGTCCCGAGGCACCCTTTACAATTATGAACAGGCCAGAGGCACCCTTTACAATTATGAACAGAGGCCAGAGGCACCCTTTACAATTATGGACAGTCCCGAGGCACCCTTTACAATTATGAACAGCCTTGAGGCACCTTTACAATTATGGACAGACCCGAGGCACCTTTACAATTATGGACAGTCCCGAGGCACCCTTTACAATTATGGCACCCAGTCTTGAGGCAGAGGCACCTTTAAAATCATGGACAGTCCCGAGGCACCCTTTTAAAATTCATGGACAGTCCTGAGGCACCTTTTTATGGAAAATCCCGATGGACAATTATGAACAGGCCGAGGCACCCTTTAAAATCATGGACAGTCCAGAGGCACTCTTTAAATTATGGACAGTCCTGAGGCACCCTTTAAAATCATGGATAGTCCGAGGCACCCTTTACAATTATGAACAGGCCAGAGGCACCCTTTACAATTATGGACAGTCCCCAAGGCACCCTTTTACAATTATGGACAGTCCTGAGGCACCCTTTACAATTATGGACAGACCCAAGAGCACCCTTTACAATTATGAACAGGCCAGAGGCATCCTTTACAATTATGGACAGACCCAAGGCACCTTTACAATTATGGACAGTCCTGAGGCACCCTTTACAATTATGGACAGTCCAGAGGCACCTTTTACAATTATGGACAGTCCCGAGGCACCCTTTAAAATCATGGACAGTCTTGAGGCACCCTTTACAATTATGGACAGTCCTGAGGCACCTTTCAAAATCATGGACAATCTCGAGGCACCCTTTACAATTAGACAGTCCTGAGGCACCCTTTAAAATTATGAAACAGTCCCGAGGCACCCTTTAAAATCATGGACAGTCCTGAGGCACCCTTTACAATTATGGACAGTCTTGAGGCACCCTTTAAAGTTATGGACAGTCCCGAGGCACCCTTTAAAATCATGGACAGGCCAGAGGCACTCTTTAAAATCATGGACAGTCCTGAGGCACCCTTTAAAATCATGGATAATCCCGAGGCACCCTTTACAATTATGGACAGTCCCGAGGCACCCTTTACAATTATGGACAGTCTTGAGGCACCCTTTACAATTATGGACAGGCCCGAGGGACCCTTTAAAATCATGGACAGTCCCGAGGCACCCTTTACAATTATGGACAGGCCCGAGGGACCCTTTAAAATCATGGACAGTCCCGAGGCACCCTTTAAATTATGGACAGTCCTGAGGTACCCTTTAAAATCATGGACAGTCCTGAGGCACCCCAATGGACAGTCCCGAGGACCCTTTGCAATTATGGACAGTCTGAGACACCTTTTAAAATTATGGACAGTCCCGAGGACTCTTTTAAAATTATGGACAGTCCCGAGGCACCTTTTAAAATTATGGACAGTCCCGAGGCACCTTTTAAAATTATTGGACAGTCCCGAGGCACTTTTAAAATTATGGACAGTCCCGAGGCACCCTTTACAATCATGGACAGGCCAGAGGCACCCTTTAAAATCATGGACAGTCCCGAGGCACCCTTTAAAATCATGGACAGTCCCGAGTCACCCTTTAAAATTATGGACAGTCCTGAGGCACCCTTTACAATTATGGACAGTCCCGAGGCACCCTTTACAATTATGGACAGTCCCCCTTTTAAAATTATGGACAGGCCCGAGAAACTTTAAAATTATGGACAGGCCCGAGAAACTCTTTTTAAAATTAAAATATGGACAGTCCCGAGAAACTCTTTAAAATTATGGACAGGCCCGAGAAACTCTTTAAAATTATGGACAGGCCAGAGACACCCTTTAAAATTAGGGACAGTCCTGAGGCACCCCATTCTAAAATGTGAAAACTATTCTAATAGCTTTACATAATGCAGCAGTTTTTCTCCATCACTGAGCTAATGGGACCCCCAGCACTGATGGACAGGGGCAGGAGAGGTTCAAACTAGGATGCTGTGTAGGCAGCTGACATCCTCCTTATTAATTGATGATGTCATTGGTTGTCAGGACGCTGGCGGCTAGAAGGTCGTAATGGTGTACAATGAAATCCTGTGGCTTTGTGTAACTAAAAGGCAGGCTTGTTCCACCCTGGCTGGTATACAAGGTTTGGGCAGTTTTTTAGACATTTTGCCAAGGCACCCCTGAAGAAACCTCAAAGTAGCCCAGGGTGCCTGGGCACCCTGGTTGAGAAAGGTTGCTCTACACATCATCATCACACCAATCTCCTCCAACCCAGAGCTCTGTCTGTTTGGAGGGGGTTTATTCCAGGTGGACATCGCTCAGCAGAGTTTCGATCCCTTCGTGAAGCTGGCCGTACACAAAGTCAACGTCAGCCAATCCCCGATCAGTCATCCGAAATTCATCCTGTGGGTGGTCTCACCACTACCTGGTTCAACTAATGCTGACTTGTGTTCAACAATGGCCAGAGATGGATCGGAATTCAGCAGGGGCCAGATAAACTTCGATCGTCCATTGATCGACTTTTCATAAATGGGCTTATTGGATAATGTTGTTTCAAACAGCACATGCAGCCAATCAGCGAATACGCTGATCGGTGTATTCTGACCGCAGGAGAGTCCCACAGTCAGAATACGTTGGGGTTGATTTACTAAAACTGGAGAGTGGAAAATCTGGTGCAGCTCTGCATGGTAGCCATTCAGCTTCTAACTTTAGCTTGCTCAATTAAAGTGATATTAAAGGAGAAGTACAGCCAAAGCTGGTTTGGCTGTACTGTGGATCACAGGAGTGCAGTTCATTGCCATTTTCAGCCGAGAGTGGGCTAAAGTCCTCTGTTAGCTGACGTCACTCAGCCAGTGAATGCTGGGGAAAGATCGTGACTTTATAGTGACACTAAAGCTTCTTCATTTATATTTTTAATAGCAAACATGTCTATATTTACCTGCTCTGTGCAATGGTTTTGCACAGAGCATCCCCGATCCTCTTCTTTTTGTGTCCTTGCCGGATGTCCTTGCTCCTCCCCTGCAAGCAATGCTCCCAGGGAAAGCTGCTCTCCCTGAGGGCATAGCTGCATGCTCATCCCTGAGCTGCTGCTCTATGCATTCATAAGACACAGAGCCGCAGCATAGAATGCACAAAGGTAAAAGAACCTTGAGCCTTTAGAACCACTTTAACCACTTGCCCTCCTAAGGAATTACCCCCCTTCCTGACCAGGCCTCTTTTTGCTACTCGGCGCTGCAGTAATTCAACTGATAATTGCGCGGTCATGCAATGCTGCACCCAAACAAAATTTATGTCCTTTTTCACACAAATAGAGCTTTATTTCGGTGGTATTTGATCACCTGTGCGCTTTTTATTTTTCACGCTATAAACAAAAAAAGACCAAAAAATTTTGAAGAAAAATGATATTTTTTACTTTCAGCTATAAAAAATATATAGTAAACTCAAAGTTAGTTTATAAATTTAGGCCAAAATGTATTCTACTACATGTTTTTGGTAAAAAAAATCCCAATAAGTGTATATTGATTGCTTTGTGTGAAAGTTATAGCGTCTACAAACTATGGTATAGATAGATACTGCAATTTATGCCATTGTTTTGCTATACAGCGCTGCACTAGTTTAACGGACAATTGCACGGTCATGCAATATGGTACATAAATTAAATTTACATCCTTTTTTCCCACAAATTGAGCTTTCTTTTGGATGTATTTGACCGCCTGTGCGGTTTTTTATTTTTTGCGCTATGAAAAAAAAAGACTGACAATTTTGAGAAAAAAAACCAATATTTTGGACTTTTTGCTATAAAACATGTCCAGTAAAAAAATGTAAAAATCAAATTTAGTCATAAATTTCTGCCAAAATGTATTCTGCAACATGTCTTTGCTTAAAAAAAATCCCAATACATGTAAATTAATTGGTTTTCGTGAAAGTTATAGCGTCTACAAATGGCGGGAAAGATACTGGGATTTTTTTTCATTATACTAATATAATGGCGGCAATCAGCGACTTATGGCGGTGATTAGCGATTTATGACAGTGATCAGCGACTTATGGCGGGACTGCAGGACTGCGGAGGACATTTTGACACTGGGGGGGAACTGACTTGGGGTCACTGACATCCCCAGTAACACCAATACAGTGATCAGTGCACAAAAAAAAAACACTGACACTGTACTAATGGCACTGGGGAGGATGGGGTTAACTTTTATTAGATAATGAAAGGGTTAACTGTGTGAGGGGAGTGTTTTACTAATGGGTTGGGGGGGGGTGTACTTCACAGGAACACGCTGATCCCCAGAGATAAGGTCTTCTCTCAGGTTCAGAGTGCTCTGAACGGACAGATAGCAGAGCTGCAATGTAAACACTGCAGCCGTGCTATCTGTCAGTGATTACTTGTAATCGCCAGCACCCGGCGGCTAATGACCCGCCGGGAGCCGGTGATGTACACCCCCCTGCCCACGATCAGCGGGACAGGTAGGGCGGGCACGCGCCTCCTCACGCGCGCCCCCTACCTGTTTTGCATAGCGACGTTAAAAGACGGCGCTGTGCGTACAGGTGCCGCCCTGCCGCAGTAAAAACACTGTGACGGGTCGACAAGTGGTTAAAGTCAGGATCCACCCAGATGTCTGGACCACCAGCCTCTTAGCAAGCCGACTCTTGTGATGTTTCCAAAAAAGCACAAATATGGTTTCACATACGTTGTGGAGTGCTGTACCCTCTAAGGAGTGATCCACAATCAGATCACTTTTCAGACTGCATTTGACAGGCAGTGAGGAGGAATCATAGTTCTTCTTCAATGCCTGAATTAACCCTATAAATGTGCACTACCGCAACAGAATTGCGTGCTTTGCACGCAGTTGCGGTGCAGCGCAGTTGAACTCAGTGATCGAGTTTGAGAAGTGGTGCTGCTTTGCAAACTCTGCACCCTAGGTTAAAAATTCTGCAGACACAATGCTCTGGATGTGAACAACCCCATTCAATTGTTATTTTACAGTTTGGGTGTTAAAACAGCATCTCAGCCGCCTGCCTTTTTTACTGGCCACCTGTCTGAAAATGACAGTGGGCTCCATTCACTAAATGGTATGTACGACTTTAAGAAATGCGTTAAAATATCGCTTAGTGTTTTTCAAAACGTTTTTTGGCATTCACAAGAACACACTTCTAGAATACCGCATGCAGTATTTGTCCAAAATATGCAGTATTTATCTCATGAAATCATGCTGTATTTTATCATGTGATATCCAGTGGGATGGATACAGTGGAGAATGATTAGAACCCCTGTCAATTTTTTTTTTTGCTAATAAAGAGGTAAAATGGTTTACACAGTAGAAATATACCAACTCACAAAGTCAGCATATGTAATAATACAAAAGAAAAAAACTGATTAGAATACCAGGCAAAGGGAAGCTGCTTTCACAGGACACGTGGCGTATCAAAAACAACTAAGCTAAATTAAAGTGGCAATCCAGTTAAACAAAAAAATAAAATAGAAGTCAGGTACTACAAAAACTGTAGCTGCTGACTTTTAAAAGATAGGCAATTACCTGTCCCACGATCCAGTGGTGCACTCACCGCAGACGGTTTTTCACCAGCCACCATCACTTCCTGGCACAGGCATCTTAAGTGTGGGCACTCAGCTGTGACAGCTTGCAGCTTCATGCACGGGTAGAGCTGTGCCTTGTGAATGGTCGATCCCGTAGTCTTCTGGGACCTGTTACATGTCCCAAAAGACTACATAGAGGGAGGGGGGGAGGACAACTTCCGCTTTGAATCACCTAAGAGATCGCAGTGGAAGTGGGTCAAAATCAGGTACCCGCTCCCATAAGGTGCCAATTCCTCACAGGGAGCAGGGGATTAGTACTTAAAGCAGAACTTCCCCTTTTGGTGTGGAGCTCCACTTAGAGTAAATACAATATATCTTTATAAATGTCAAATACTGAATGGAAATAGTTTAAAAAAATCACACACATATATAAATACACTTCTTTTACAACACTGTCTTTTTATTGGTGGAAAAAGGGTATTTATATATATGTGTGTGATTTTTTTAAAACTATTTCCATTCAATATTTGACATTTATAAAGATATTTTGCATTTACTTAACCACTTGTCTACCGGGCACTTT